CGGACCTCATCCCCAGCCATAGCCGGGCTTAATCAATGGGTGACCTCACCTTCCTAAGCCTCTCCTGTTGTGAGTGTGAAATGGACTTCCCGGCCCCAGGGCCATGGCAGGGCTGTGTCTGCCCAACCCCGCTGTGAGTGCTCACTCCATCTTTACCAGCTGTTCTACTTTCAGACCCAGATCCCGGAAGAACCCTGGGTCCTCTGCCTCCCCGGAACCTGGTCAGGTAGCCAGCCCCTCCCGCCTCCTAATGGACTCTGCAGCTGCCTCCTCCCAGCGGCCCCTTTTCTGAGGGACACCCCAAGCCTATGCCTGTCACCTTGGCTGTCCCTGGGGCAGGCGGCCTCAGGGTCTAACAAGGCGCTGCCGCCTGGGTTGTACCCGCTGATAGCCCGGGCTTAGGCCCCAGTTCCCCTTTCCCGCCTGTCTTCCTGCGGCCTGCCCTACAGGTCCCCATCCCTGAGTGCTCCCCCCCACTCCCTACCTCTTCTTGAACCTCCACTCTTGACCTATGCACACCCCGCCGCCCCCCACACCACAGCTGGCCAAAAAGCTGCGGCAGGTCCGCATCACCCCCTGCCCGTGTCCTCCCTGGCCGTGTGGGCCAGCCGAGGCAGGGCTGACAAAAGAGAAAGCATAGGCCAGACACCAGCAGAGGGCAGGGGCAGAGGCACCGAGCTCGGGCCTGGCCCAGAACTCAGGGACCCCGACAGCTGAGGCAGAGACCAAGGGGTTGGGATCAGCGCTGTCCTGACGGGGACCACCGTGTGTGTGTGTGTGTGTGTGTGTGTGACGGGGACCACCGTGTGTGTGTGTGTGTGTGTGTGTGTGTGTGTGATGGGGACCACCGTGTGTGTGTGTGTGTATGTGTGTGTGTGAGAGAGAGAGAGACGGGGACCACCGTGTGTGTGTGTGTGTGTGTGTGTGTGAGACGGGGACCACCGTGTGTGTGTGTGTGTGTGTGTGTGTGTGTGAGACGGGGACCACCGTGTGTGTGTGTGTGTGTGTGTGTGTGTGTGTGTGTGAGACGGGGACCACCGTGTGTGTGTGTGTGTGTGTGTGTGTGTGTGTGTGAGAGAGAGAGAGAGAGAGACGGGGACCACCGTGTGTGTGTGTGTGTGTGTGTGTGTGTGTGTGTGTGAGGACAGGCCCAAAGAGCTAGCCAGGGAGCAGAAGGCCCAGGCAGAAGCGAGACAGATGGGGACACAGCCCCCAAAGAAAGGCCTGGACTGAGCACCGGCTCCGTAGGAGGTGAAGGAGCCGCAGGCTGCGGGCGCAGGCAGGGGCCGCGCCTCGGTGGGCTCGCTGGGCTCCAGGAGGGCGCCGGCTGCGGGGGCCAGGGCCGGGCCGCTGCTGGCCACGGCTGATACTGCTGTGGGTGATGAGGAGACGGGCTGGGAGGCGCTGGCTGGTCCCATGCGGGCAGCGGCGATCGCTGGTGACCCCTTCTGGGCCCCGCGAACCGGACAGAGCCGCTGCCGCAGCGGGTTGGGAGGGAGGGGAGGGGGTTGTCGCTGCTGCTGCTGCTGCTGCTGCCGCTGTCGCTGCAGAATGAGGGGCTGGGGACACCTGCGACAGCTGCTGCCACCCCGGTGGCTGCGGTAGGCCTGCTGCCAGTGAGCCTGGGGGGGCAGCTGACAGGGCCCGTGGGCGTGAGTGGCCACCGGGTCCTGGTACCACTGACGACAGCATCCTGGAAGGAAGGAAGCGGGGTGACTGGGACTGGGTCCCGGTGCCCCCCGGGGACACTGGCTTGAGCCAGGTTGTGCTATTTGGCAAGGCTGGACTGGAGCATCCGTGGGAGCCCCAGAGGCCCCAGGAGTGAGACGGGCCGGCACAAAGGACACACAGGGTCTGTGCTTCCCAGGGAGCATGGAGGGAGGACACTACTAGAGATTCGTGCATCTTGGCTCCCCACATCCTGAGGCACTGCAAAATCTTAGGGTGAGGATGGCTGAGGATCTGCTAGGAGCTGGCCTGGCTGGTCAGAAGTGGCCAGGGTGCTCATGGAGAGGGGCAGGCCAGGGGCTGAGAAGCCGTCAGACCCCAGGAGTCTGTGACAGCCCCTCCCCACTCCCCTTGGTCATTGTGGGATCCTGAGCCACTCCATGGGGGGCTCCCCGTCTGCCCCGCCACCATATGGCTCCTCTGGAGGTTGTCCCTCACAGCCTGGAGAGTTTCAGAAGGGATTCCCCCGCTCCCGCCCCGACTGAACACTCCAACCTTTGGACTCTACAAGAGACTAGCATGGCGTGCACACCTGTAGTCCCAGATTCGTGCGGGAGCCTGGGGTAGGAGGAGTGTTTGAGCCTAGGAGGTCAAGGCTAACCTGGGCAATAGTGAGACCCTGTCTCAGACCTTTTCAGTAAGACCAGTCTCTTTGGAGCCCAGGCTAGCCTGGAACTTGCAACAATCCTCCTGCCTCAGCCTGGAAGACGCTTGGGCTACAGACACAGGCCACAACAATTGGCCCGTGTGGCTTTTATCCTTGGAGCCTGTCTCTGCGATTGCACATAAATTCAGCACCCGTCCACCCTGCCCAGTCTCCTGCCACCGCTCAACCCCCCCGAGAATGAAATCTTACCTTTTTGGTGCCCCAACTCAGGATCCAAAAAGTATTGTTCATTGGGGGTCCGGGCACTCTTGGTGAAGTGGACATTGTAGTTTTTCTGCATGGCGGGCCGTGCTGTCAGTGGCCCCTTCCTAGATGGAAGAGTCGGCACTCAGCTTGGTAGGGTCCCCTGGGGACCCCTTGTGACCTTGGACAGGCACGGTCCAAGTTTGGGGGAGGGGGCTCTGGAGTGAGAGGTTGGCAGGGTCACATGAGGGGAAGACAATGGCCAGATGACTGGGGGGGTCACTGTTAGGCTAGGTGGGGAGTACAGAGCTTGGGGGGGGCGCTATAGGGAGACTGAAGCAGCTGACCTGGGGGAGCCACCAAGCAGAGCCAGAAGAGTAGGGGACTGCCCGGCATGGCATGGTGGCACATGCTTGTAATGCCAGCACTCGGAGACAGAGGCAGCGGGAATCTCTGAGTTTGAGGCCAGAGGGAGACCTCCTCCAAAGCAAAAGCAAACATAAACAAGTGCGGGGAGCTAAACTCGGAGCTGGAGAGAAGGGACCTCTGGGGTAAAGTGAAACTGGCGCCTTCTGAGGAGACTCAGGCAGCGGGAGGTTCGGAGGTGCCGGAGCTGAGCTGGGAAAGATACTGACTGGCCCAGGGCGATGGGAACCCGGGTGATTAGGGCTGGGGATCAGGCCAGTGGTCCAGCCTCCCACCGCGCGCTCCCCCCAACCCATCCCAGCCTGGGCTCCCAGTACCCACCTGGCGGTGGCCCCCGCGGCCCCAGCTGGCTGCCGTGGCCCCGCGCAGGCCTGGCTGGAGCCCAGTGGCGCCCGCTCGGCCGGTTCTCCGGCGTGTGTCCCCGCCCTTTGGGCAGGCGCCTGGCCTGCTGCTCTCTAGGACTGGGTGCTCGGGGAGAGGATGAACCCAGGAGGGGGTGGAGAGTCCACAGCAACCCTCACACCAGGTTTCTGCGCATCTCTGCCGGGAGGGAGGAGGCTGAAAAAATCCCGACCGTCTTCTGGCTCCTCTGTGGCACAGCTGTGTGACCGCGGGTTGGTGACTTCATCTCTCTGGGCCTTAGCTTCCTCATTGATGAATAGGCCGGATTGGCACCTGTTTCTTGAGGTTGTCCAAAGGGTGACCCATTTACCAGGCGCTGCTCGGGATGCCTTGCATAGAACCCTGGCACACATTGGGAGGAGCTTTTGAGCCAGGTCACTCGGTAGCCCCCTTTGTGACCACAACCCACAGAAGTCGTACCCACTCCACAGACGAGAAATCTGAGACACAAAGCCACTTCCTTGCCCCAGACCACACGGAGCGAGGCAGTGAAAGGTAGAGGTGACTCCCAGGATCCTGCCCTGTGCTTGGTCCTGTCAGGGTGGTGCCCCGGAAAATGATACTCCATACTGTGGAATTCGTCCGTGCACCAGCAGGGGGTCCAGGTAGCCACAGTGCCTCCTGCTGTCGGGGCCAGGCCACCCTCCTCCCTCAGTCATTCAAGCCCCTTCTTTGAGGAGGCAGGGATGTATCTGGAGGTGGACTGTGGGGTGTTAGTCCTGCTCACTAGGCTGTGTAGCCTTGACAGATAGTCAAGGCTGCTGGATCCTGAGAAGGGACTAGGGTGGGGCCGAACAGGCAGGGGGTTATGTATGCAAATTGGGGTACAGTTTGGTTATAGGGAATTGGAGGGGCAGGCTGAGGAACCTGAGGCATCTGGATCATTCCACAGCGGTGGACGACCCAACCACAGGGACCCAGCTGAGCCTGGTGACACATAGCAGCCGTCACTTGGGCCGCTGAGGCAGGAGGATCACCTATGGGCTCAAGGCCAACCTGAGCTACGTAACGAGACCTTGTCGTATGTTATCGTATGTTATCGTATGTGCATGGATGTGTCACTTGCATTTATGTGTGGATATCTGGTGCCCACAGTAGTGAGGACAGGCTTTCTCAAGACCTCTGGAGGTAGAGTTATGGATGGATGGATGTGAGCCACTATACAGGTGCTGGGAATCAAACCTGGGTCTCTGAACCATCTGCCCTGTCCCGCCTGGAGAGACGTTGTCTCGGGGTTGGGGGATTGGAGCAATTGCTCAGTAGTTAACAGTGCATACTGCTTTACAGAGCACAGGATTCAGCAGACATCCTTGTAATTCAACATTAACAAAAGAGCCAGTGGCCTTTGTTCTTTCCGCTGTGGGAAGAGCATTGGATTCAGCAGACATCTTTGTAATTCCTTCCGCTGCAGGACTCAGCTCCACCTCAGTTTGCAGTCCCTGGGCCTGGGTGCCTACCCACATAGCAGTGGACAGCAGAGCCGGGCCAAGGGTGGCCCCAGGCTTGTTGGCTGGCAGAGCCTGTGGGCTGGGCCAGGTGAACAGGGTGGGGGTGGATGCAGAGGGACATGTAACAATCACTGCACACATCTGTCTCCAGGTAAAGAACCTTTATTGAGCATTTGTTATCTGGGTGATGCCCCAATGTCCCTCCATGCCCATTCTGAAGTCATGGGACTGTCCTGCTTCCCGGGACCCTCTGGCTGCTTTCATTCCCTCGTCTGAAGCAGGTGACCACCTCAGAGCCTACAACCTCCAGCTTCAAGGCCACCCGCAGAGGTGACCACTCACACAGGGCCAAGGTGCCAGCTCCTGAGGCTGAGGTCAGGCAGGGCAAACCTGCGTGCGGTCCTCAGGACTTCTGGATCACCACCTGGAACTTACCTGGAAGGGAAGGGCCACCTTTAACTGGGTCTGGGACAGGGACCCTGCCAGCAGACTGGCTGTCCACCTGCACCAACAACCGGGGTGCCCCGGAGTGAGTGGGTCACAGGGCAACCACCCCCACCCAACTGGCCCCCACCCCAGACCATGAGGGAGCCTGGGGCCAGGTGGCTGAACATTGTTCACCCCAGGTCCCCAGCAGCAAGAAGGGGGTGCAGCTGCCCACTGTGGGGCGGGGCTCAGGCCCAGCCATGCCTTGTGGGAGTAAGGTAAGAGCAGATGGGGGGTGAGTTCAAAGTCATGGGGGAACCTGGCCAGGGTGTCTAAGATGTCCCACTGGGTCCTGTGCTATCCTCTTCCCTTAGGGGGGCCCTAGGGACACGGATGTGCTCACGTTAGCTGTCGTGTCAGGTATGTTTTGGTAATCAGGTTCCCCTTTCAACACTGATGAGGGACCAGGGATGAGGAGGCCCCGAAGTCTGTGCCACATTTAAGGGACGCAAAACGCCCCTCCCCCATGACTTACAGGCAGGCAGGGCAGTCACAGAGGCGGTGACCAGGCTCTGGAAGCCCAGCGTATGGAGGGCGCCACACAGAAGGCCGCAGGTGAAGGCCAGGAACTAGGATGGGGGACACAGACCACTGTGGGAAGAGGGGAGGCCCAGCCCCAGCCCAGGAGAGGTCTAGCAGGGGGGTGGGCAGATAGGCAGGCCCTGTACCACAGCCGATACCTTGGGAGCTTCCTCTAGATACTGAGACCCGGAGCCCATGGTGAGGAGGAGGGGGAAGCTGTTGTCCTGCAGCACATAGGTCCCCTGGTGACAGAAAAGAGACTGATGAGGCTGGGCAGTGACAGGGGACCCCAGCGCCCACTCCTTTAGCACTGGGGGGATGGGGAGCTGGGTAGCCAGGCGCACATGGGCCACCCCGCCAGCCACGTGGCTTCTTAGGAAGCAGCCCCTACCTGGCAGGGTGCTGGAAGAAGCAGAAACCCTGGCCCATGCTGTGGTGGTGGGGATGGGGACAGCGTGGGTGGGTATTCAATGGGGACTGCAAGCCTGGGACACTAGCTGCCAGTGTAGGGCTCACTCCCGACAGGCAGAAATAGCCCTGCCACCCAACTGCAGGCCTGGCTTCCCATAGGGGCTGCAAGGAGGAGGAGATGGGAACGGCAATCTAGGGTTCTTGCCTCCCAAGGCCCCATGGGCTGGCTGTGATGTTCCCACGGAGGGTTTCCACTGCCCCCACCCAGGAGGCCAGGGGATGGGGCTTCGGCTCACACACCCACCTGGTGGTTGGTGCGGAGTCCATCCATGTGCTTCTGGAACATGGCTGCCCACAGGTCTTTGCACAGGAACTTGAGGGCGTCCAGCTCCTCTCTGACAGCCAGCGTCTCCCGGGGCAGCCTGGATAAGGGTGTGGGATGAAGCCAGGCCCATCCAGTACACGCGTGGGTCTATGCAACCTTCTCCACCCTAGGTCTTGCCAGCAGGAACCCCAACATCAGGTCTGCCCACCCTCCCAGGCATCAGAGGAAGGCAGGCAGGGCTGGCTCTCACCTCTCACCCAGAGCCTGGCCCACGCGGAAGCCCACACCCTCCAGGACTGACAAGCTCTTCTTCTTTCCCTAGAAGGCCAAGAAAGGGAGGCCTAGGAGGACTCTGCAGGTTTCTGCCCAAGCTCAGCTTCCAGATCCTTCTACCCAATTCCTGGAAGCTGTCCTGGTCTTTGGTCCAGGTGCAGTCCCTGCGCCCAACCCTCTCATCTGCCCCTGACCCCATGTTGTCCCTGTGAGGTTGGGGCCTAGCTGCCAAGGTCACCTAGGTCACCAGTCACAGATACCCAACAGGGGAAGGGAAGGGCCAGGGGCTGAGCAGGCGTGCTGTTGCAGGGGCTCACAGGAATGCCATTGGTGCTCAATGGGGCTGAGGTAGGCTGTCCTCCATGGGTGGAAACACACTCCAAAGGGTTAAGCAGCTGCCCTAGGCCCACTGCAGACCTGTCATCTGGCTGCTTGGCAGGCTGAGGTAGGAGGGACACATGATGTGCCCCAACTACAGAGTGCGTTCACGGCCAGCGTGGGCAACTTGGTCAAACCCTATGTTGAGGAGAAAAAAAATCAAGGTAGGTGGGGTGGGGCCCCCGATGGTCCCCAAACTTGGGGGGCAGAGGTGGGAGGACCAGGAGCATGTCATCCTTCCCACAGTGAGCAGAGCCCAGCCTGGGTGACAGGAGACCCTGTCTGTCAGTTACACAAGAGGGCTGGAGGCGTGGCTCAGCAGTAAGCATTGCCGAGACCTTGCATTCAATCTCACCTCAACTCGCCACAATCATGCACGGTGCTAGCTCAGTGCAGGGGAACCTGGGTAAAGGGCACCCACGTTTCATATCAGGGTGTTAGCCAGGCATGGCGGTACAACCCATGACCCTAGCGCTTGGAAGGCTGAGGAAGAATCACAAATTTGATTCTTCGTACTGGGCTACGTACTGAGACTGTCTCAGCTACCTCCCCCACCAAGCTGGGTGCCGTGCGTGATAGCACACACTTTTTTTTTTTTAGACAGGATTTCTCTGTGTAGCTTTTGGAGCTTATCCTGGCACTCGATCTGTAGACCAGGCTGGTCTCGAACTCAGAGATCTGCCTGCCTCTTGCCTCCAAAATGCTGAGATTAAAAGTATGTGCAACCACTGGCTAGTGATATCGCACACCTTTAATCCCAGCACTCCGCAGGTAGAGGTGGGTGGATCTCTGTGAGTTCAGGGTCAGCCTGGTCCACATAGTGAGTTCCAGGACAACCAGAGCATCATAATCTTGTCTCAAAAAACCAAAATACAAAGAATAAAAACAAAACATCAAAGCAAGCCAGCAAAATTAGCTCAGTGGGTAAGGGTGCTAGCCGAGCCTGAAGAACCCAAGTTGCACTTTGGGGTCTCACAAGGAAGGAGAGCTGATCATCTAAAGTTGTCCTCTGGCTGAGGACAGTGGGTCACACCTTTAATCCCAGCACTCAGGAAGCAGGCGGAGGTGGATCTCTGAGTTTGAAGCCAGTCTGGTCAACCAAGTGAGTCCCAGGACAGCCGGGACCACAGAGCAAGACCGTTTCTAAACTTTAATGAGTTGTATGGGATCTTCACACTCATGCCATGCCCTGTTCCCTCCAAAATAAATACATGTAACAAAAACACATCACTGGGGAGTCAGGCCTCACCCAAACCAGCAGAGACAACAGGCCTTCCCACAGGGAGATGGTGGAGAGCTCTGCTGGCTTCCTCCAGCATGGCCTAGGAGGAGGACAGATGTTGCTGACCTGCAGGGTGACACATGGGCGATACCTGTCACACTGGTCACCCTTGTGCTGGCATTGTTTCGTGTTCTGAGATACACCCTTGCACTCCCCTGCAGAGGGGCCAGGGAGATGGGGTGGGGGTTCAAACCACACATCAGCCTCTTAAGCCTTACTGTGACACCATGCACAGTAAGTAAGGCGGTGTGAATGAAGCCATTACCCCCAGGAGAACTCAATAAAGGAGATGTCTATGTTCCAAAGCTCCAGAACCTAGAATAGCCTGGCAGTACGTGAGCCTGGGGACTCTGGTGGCCAGTGTTTTCCTCAGAATTCCTGGAGGCAGAGCCAGTTTACTGTGAAGGAATACATGTGTCCACACTCAGGATTCCCCAGGGTGACAGGAAATGTCACCCTCTGTGGCTGAGGTAGCCTAGGTATAGATGTATGGTAGGCCCGGCAGCCAAGTCCGGAGAAGAGGGGTCAGAGGGGTTGATAGCAAGCTCAAGTTTTCCTTCTACAAACTTCAAAATCCCTGGGATGGACATCGTGGATGAGTGACCTAGATACAGTGGCCTCAGGTCCCACGTGTGCAAGGAAGCTTAAGGCACTGCCTGCTCACAGTGATGGTGACAGAGACAGCTGTTGTCACCACTGGCTTCCCTCTGCCTGTCCCTGGACAGGGGTCAATTAAGTATCTGCTGAACTGAATAGACCAGAGTGGCAGGGTCACAGGTTCAGGGGGGAGGTGCTGTGGGACATTTGTACACTGTGTGAAGACCAACAGCGGGACTTGCGGGCAGAGAGAGGAACCAGGAGGAGATAAGAGCGGGTACTCCAGGGGACAGAGGAAGCAGGATGGGTGGCATGTGACAGGACACAGATTAACAGAAATGGGTCAATTTAAGTGGTCAGAGCTAGTTAAACAAGCCTAAGCTAAAGCAGAGCTTTCATAGTTAATAAGAAGTCTCTGTCGTAATTTGGGGGCTGGCAGATGGGGCAGGGAAAGACATCTGGCACTCCAACGCAGGATACAACCACACAAGCGGGGACATCAAGCCAGGGCAGCACTGCGACAGACTCAACTTCCCAGAGCAGGGGCAGTAAGTGAGGCCCCAGCAGATACCCATGGCATGAGGCCAGTCTCTCAGGGGGCTGAGGGGGTGGGGGCAGCCACCTAAACACCTACTAAGAGTTCAAGATCTGGCCTACACTGTCAGAGAACACTACAGATGCGCAGAAAGCCAGATCCAGACACACACACACTCTGTAAAATCTCTGCCTGGCAGTGGTGGCGCACACCTTTAATCCCAGCACTCGGGAGGCAGAGGCAGGTAAGTCTCTGTGAGTTTGAGGCCAGCCTGGTCTACAGAGTGAGTTCCAGGACAGCCAGGGCTGTTACACAGAGAAACCCTATTTTGAAAAACCAAAAACAAAATCTTTAAAGAGAGAGCAAAGTAATATATAAAAAAAAAAAAAGCCATATAAGGATGGGAAATATTATAACAGGGGACTTTGGATCTTACATGGTGCTTTGTTAATTTTGAATTTAAATGCTAATATACAAAAAACAATAGCTGCTGAGAGACATTGCATCATGGAAACTGCTAAGTTAAACAAATCTATATATTTAAGAATGTCTTCACTTCAGAATGGAAGTCAAAATATACGTTGCATTGGGGGAGAGGTTGTGCTTTTATTTCCACAGGAAACAGAAAGTTATGGTTCTCTTCAAAATTAATAAAGACCAGATTTGATTGAGGGAGGCCTCCTGAGAATCTTGGCTACAGACATGAGCAAAGCAACTAAGAAAGACCACAGGACAGGTGACGTTTATCATATGCTGACCCCTACTATGGGGACAGCTCTGAGACTGGATGAGACATATACATCTTGTTGGCTACACAGTCCTCATGACACATTATTACATGCCATCCTTTCACATGAATGGATAGAGACTTTTATTACACTTTGGTTACATAGTCCAAATAGGCCTGTAAAGTTAACAGATGCCCTTTACCTGCTCAAACATAGAACTGGTGTCAGTTCTGCATCCCATACTTGTGTTAATACAGAATTATGTGTGTGTATGTATGTATGTATGTATGTGTGTGTGTGTTTTCAGAAAAAAAAAAAAAAAAAAGGGCCAGATACCAACAAAGACAGTAGCCCAGGTGATCCAGCCTCTCAGATGCCTCTGTTGCAATTCCCTCAAAACTCTATATCCAGAGCAGCTTCAAAGTTGCTAGCTGAGATGGTCCAGCCTCGTAGATTTCTCCAGCCAGGACTTGAGGCAAGCCCTGAATTTTCCCATCACCCAGACTGTATATAATTTAGAGTTAAAACCGTTCCTTTCTGTTTCTTCAGAACGGGGAAATGTTGTGGGAAATGTGTACACTGTGTGAAGGTGCGCTGCTATGACTAGTTTAATAAAGAGCCTAACAGCCAGGCTTTCATAATTCACAAATCTCCAGGAGGTTATTTGTGAACTGACAGCCTAAAGAAAAATCCAACTACAGCGAGGAGACAACAGAAAGTAGGTGGGACAGGAAGGATGGGCAGAGGAGACGCCCCCACTGCAGCCTCCAAAGGCTCTGTGACACATGAGTGTCTTACTCTCCTGGAGGAGATAAAGCAGGGACTCCATTGTCCTCATCAACAGACCAGAGTCTGGCCAGCCAGCATGTTTCTTGGGCTGTCCCTGCTGGCCACATGATCATGGGTAGAAAGAGAGAGGATGCTGGGAGAGAAGTGATCGGTACTGGAACACAGGCTTGTAAAACAGAGAGCAGCTGGGTCAGGCAGATTCCCTACCCAAAGTCAAGTTCTGGAATTAAGGGACTGAGTTTTTGTTTTTGACTGTGCCCAGAGCCTGTGCAGCTTCCAAAATAAGGACATTCTCCCAAAGCCCCAGTCCTGAAAACCAAGACAAGTTGTCTGCCATGTGAGCTGTTTTAGGACCTGAACTTAACCTCCACAGATAAACTGCAAAAGTCCTTCGGATGAATAGTGTTTGCAATGGCCCACACACTCTGCCACAGACCTTGCTTTATTTTGTTTTGCTCAGGACAGAATTTAGGCCCTCACTGGGGGATTCCAGGCAGGGACTCTATCACTGAGCCATGCCCCCAGCCTTTTTGTTTTGTTTTTTAAACAGCGTTTCTCTGTGTAGCCTTCCTGGAACTAGCTGTGTAGATCAGGGTGGTCTTGAACTCAGAGAGATCTGCCTGCCTCTGCCTGCCTCTGCCTCCCAAGTGCTGGAACTAAAGGCGTAGCCACCACAGTCCGGCAACCTCCAACTTCTTACGCACTGTAAATCTTTTCTAGATGGTTATGAAACTAATACAATGTTACTGCTATATAGTTACACCATACAGTTTAGGAAATTCAAAAAGTGTGTAAATAATCATTACAAATGTAATTTTAAAAACCCGGTGCCTCCAATCCCAGCACCTGGGAAGTGTAGGCAGGAGGGAGGATCATGTGTCTGAGACCTTGATTCTGGGATACAAAGGTCAACTGTACCACACTGGGGGCCCAAGTTTGGTCCAGAGGTGCAATTCTCATGTCAGAGAAGGTACAGAGCGCGAGGATGTTTAGTTTGGAGTCTGCACACCTCTAATCCCAGCACTTTCCAGGCAGAGGCAGGATCATCACCAGCCTGGGCTACACAGTGAAAACTTGCCTCACAAACTACATGCTCAGGGGGTGGGGGCAGCCGTCAGGGAAGAGAGGAAATTATAGAGTGGGTAGAGCAGTCTCTAGAGCAGGTTTTGAACTCCCACATAGAATCATCCAGAGGAACCATGACAGCTGCCACGTAGCCTAATGTCAGGGAGATCCCTGAGACCAGATGCTCAGACGTCACCCTCCACCAACTCTACTAACTCAGCTGTGGGACCCCAGAAAGGAAACAGTCAGTGGCAGCGGCAGGCGCTGCTAGAAGAGGGTCGGGGCAAGCTCGCGTCTCTGCAGGCAGGCTCACGGGGAGCTATTTGTAAACCCTTTGAGTCAAGGAGACACAGAACAGAGTGCAAGCAGTGTCTTCGTGGCCCGGGGGAAGGGTCAGGCTGACCTCCCAGGAATGGGGTGGAAGACGCAGGAAAACGGGAGCGTGACACCCGTGACAACACAAAGGAACACGTAAGTGGTAGGAACTATTATGGGTTACAGTACTCCGGTGATCCCAGCAACACCCTCCACATCACCGGGTGGGGTCTTTATTCACTACTGAAGCAGATCCTTACTAAAAGACCCACTGCGCGCTGGGCGTGACGCGATCAGCACGGACTTTACCCCGGCTCACACGGGGCACACAGGAGACGGGGAACGGGAGGGCAGGGAGATGAAGATGCTGAGCTGCTCACAAGTGAGAGGCGAGGCGGGTGCTCTCCCGCCCCTAATAATCGCCGATTACCCTGATCACCAGCAGCTCCGGCGGGCCAGGCCCCAAGCCCTCTCACTCCCCCTTCGCGCTGGCCGCCCAGAAAGGCTCCAGCACCCCACTTCTCCGCCGTACGTCACCCCCGAGGCCACGCTGTGCCGCTCACCCCCGAGCCAGCGTCTGGGTCCGGGGCCCACAGCTCCGCCACCATCTCGGTGTGCAGAAACTCGAACAACGCCGCGTCCGCCATGCGCCGCGTCCGCCCCGCCCCCGACCGGACACCCCTTCCGGTTCCCACCGGCGGCCTGGGGCGGGGAGGGGGCAGGACCGATCTGATTGGATCCCCGGCGCGGCCCCGCCCCCGCCGCAGGGGCGTGCCGCGCGCACAGAAGTCTGGGGGAGCGAGGGGGCGGGTCCGTCGCGGCGCTGCGCGCGCCAGGCTCTTCCGCCCTCACTTCGCCCCCTCGCGCCTCACTTCCGCCCGGCGACGGATCCCTCGGGTTCGGAGCTCCCGGGATCGGGTATGGCCCCCGCTGATGGCCCCCGCTGGTGTTCCCGCGGGCGGTCGTCCTTCCGGGCGGGCGCGCGCTGCCGCCTGTGCCGCCCGCCCGCCCGCGCGCGCGCGAGCTAGGCCTGGGGACCGCGGGGCGTGCGGTCTGTGCAGGAGGACCCGGGGGCCTCGGTTACAGCGCCCTGTAAATGCTATTTTGGCGGTGTCGTGTTGAGGCGGGGGTCTCTCTGCGTAGCCCTGGCTGGCCTGGGACTCTGTAGACCAGGCTGGTCTCGAACTCACCGAGACCCGCCTGCCTCTGCCTCCCGAGTGCGCCGCCACCGCCCGGCCTTGTTATTTTATGTTTACGGATTCAGTGCGTGCTCGTGCGTGCGTGCGTGCCCTGCAGACGTCTCTAGACAAGTTGCGAGCTCACTTTATGCCCCGCTGAGTCAGGCGTCTCTCGGGACCTCGTTCCAAAGCTTCGCTGGGCCGGTCCTGGGTCCCTCCCCACCCCCACGCCCACCCCCACCGCGTGCGTACGATCGACACTGAGATGCAGAACCAGGGGAAACTGAGGTCGGGCCGGGGCCGTCTGGGGGAGGCGGTGGAGGGGGCTGGTACTCCCGACCTCACGCTGCGTCCCCGCGCTCCTCTTCTCCAAGCTGCGCGCCATGGCGTCGTCCCGGGGTCGGCGGCGGAGATCGGGGACCGTGGTAGCCGGGGAAGCGGCGGAGACCGACTCGGAGCTGTCCGCATCCTCGTCGGAGGAGGAGGAGCTATACCTGGGTCCCTCGGGCCCGATGCGCGGCCGCCCCACCGGGCTCCGCGTGGCCGGGGAGGCAGCGGAGACCGACTCAGAACCGGAGCCCGAGCCCGAGCCCACGGCCGCGCCGGGAGACCTGCCCCCGCTCGTGGTGCAGCGCGAGGCGGCGGCGGAGGCGTGGGGCACCGAGGAGGCCCCGGCCGTAGCGCCTGCCCGCTCGCTGCTGCAGCTCCGGCTGGCGGATAGCCAGACGCGCCTGGACCACGACGTGGCGGCCGCGGTGAGCGGCGTGTACCGCCGTGCGGGTCGCGATGTGGCTGCCCTGGCCGGGAGGCTGGCCGCTGCACAAGCCACGGGGATGGCGGCCGCCCACAGCGTGCGCCTGGCTCGAGGGGACCTCTGTGCGCTCGCCGAGCGCCTGGACATCGTGGCTGGCTGTCGCCTGCTGCCGGACATACGAGGGGTGCCGGGCATGGAGCCTGAGCAGGACCCAGGACCGAGAGCTTAGGCTGACACGCAGTGTTGTCTTGTCCGAGTCCCCTCACCACTCCGGTCCTTCCCACCACCCCCCCTACCTGACGCTCTTTGATCCGGGATCACATCGGGAGCCCCCAATGCGTGGTAGCCTTTGGTTTGTGCCCACAGGAGACTAGTCCTGGCATCTTCGTTGGTTTGCCCGATTTTATTTATTCTTAGCACAGTTCTGGGATTCTCCACTCCCAAAACTCGGTCCAGGTCATGTGGACCTCAATCAGCTCTGGTCTGTTTCCTAAATCAAGCTTTATTCTTGGGCTAAGCTATGCTTTGATTTCTTTTGTGGAACCTTCCTGGGTCTAGGCTGGAGAGGGGAGGGGTCTCTCTGGTTTACATTCCCTAATGATGGCCACTCCTGACCCAATGAGACCTTCCTACACTCCCGGCAGACCACTGTGGCAGCATGCAGGAACCAAACTAGACAAGGTAGTAACCCTTAACCCTCTGACACCCATCAGGCCCTGTGGTCGGGGCAGCGCCCCCTGGTGCTTTTTGTCGCTATAAGACATGACTGCCCACCGCTCACTGTGTTGTTTCTGGATGCTAAAAGGACATGGATTTCTGACCTCACTGGGCACTAAGGACAACAGTCCCATGTTTGGGTTTGTGTGTTTTTGTTTTTGTTCTGCTTGTTTGGGTCCTGGCTTTGCTCTCTCGGCCCTGTTCACATTCACTCCCTTTATCTTATTGCCCTGTCCTCCTTACCCCAGTCCCAAGCTGACTCCTAGGATGGAGAGGTGAGAGAGAAATTCTCTGACCGACAAGGCATTTCCTCATGAAGTCCGTTCGGCTGCCTCCCCTCTGAGCCCACAGTGAGTGGAACGGTGGTTTCTCCAGAGAAGGGTCCCAGAGGCACCGGCCTAGCTTATTTCAGGTGAATGTGGGACTTGGAGAGAGATAGTCAAAGCAGCAACAGCCCTTGGAGCAGTACCCTCAGCTCCCATTTGTCCAATGTCCCCTTCTGGCCTTCATCGGTATCTGGCACACATATGCACATTACCACATACTACACATGAAAATAAAAGTGTCAAGGCAAAGCTCTTAGAAAATCAGAGCCCAGAGATGGAGAGATGGCTCGGGGGTGAAGATCACTGGCTGCTCTTCCAGAGGACCCAGGTTCAAATCTCAACACCACTGCAGCTCATGGCCGGCTGTAGCTCCTAGTGATCGGACACCCTCACACAGACACACATGCAGGCAAAATGCCAATGCACATTAAAAAGAAAGAAAACCCTTCATTTTTGCCTTGTTAATACACTTAGTATATTAAATCAGTCTCCTTCTTTTAGGGGTGCCCGAGCTGGGGAATAGCAGCCCCTGTCTAGTAGGAATGACATAGGCATAATCATCTATAAATAATTCTAGGGGTCAGGTTATTGTTGCTTTTTGGCACCATGAGCAGAACCCTGAAGAATGACATGTACTGTGGGGAGGTGTGATGGTCTGCAGGTGTCCCAGTCTCGGGAGTGAAGCTAAATGGGGGCGAACTCAAAAGAAGCTTCAGGCCCCAGCAGCAAAGGTTCTGGCTCACAAGGCTTTGTGTGACTGACAAACTATCCCTAGGAGGCAACTCATAAAGAGGAAAGGTGAAGGCAGCGTGTGTGTGTGTGTGTGTGTGTGTGTGTGTGTGTGTGTGTGGTGTGTGTAGCTCATAGGATAAGGAGGCTACCACCCAGACTAATGACTTAAGTTCAAACCTAAGGACCGGGAGGAAACCAGCCTGCAAAACTTGCCCTCTGACCTCCACACACATGCTGTGCATTATATATGCACAAATAAGTTTTTTTTTTCCAAAGGAAAGTTTATTTTAATCCTTTAAAGATTTTGGGGTTTTTTTTTGGGGGGGGGGACAGGTTTCTCTGTGTTGCTCTGACTGTCCAGGAACTCACTGTGTAGACGAGACTGGCTGAAAACTCACAGAGATCCACCCACCTCTGCCTCCGAGTGCTGGGGTTAAAGGCGTGCCACACCAACACCCCATGTCTTAATGAGGCTTCTCTGACCTTATATGGAAGGAAGCTCAGGACTGGGGTGAGGCTGTAGCTCAGTGGTATTGGTATGCTTAGAGTGTGGGCAGCCTTGGGTTCAATTCCTAGTACTGCCCCACTCAAAAGAAAAGGAAAAGCTCGCACATTTTAAGATTTCTCTGCCCCCTTTCAAGATGGTTCTTGCCAGGCGGTGGCTCACACCATTCATCCCAGCACTCTGGAGGCAGAGGTAGGGGGATCTCTGAGTTCCAGGGCAGCCAGGGCTACACAGTGAAACCCTATCATAAGGACCTGAGTTCAGGTCCCCAGCGCCGGTGTAAGTACGGGTGTAAGCCTGGTGCTGAGGACAGAAACAGGAGAACCCAGGGGCTGGATGGCTAGTTGGTCTAAACAAAACAGCAAGCTCTAGGTTCAGTGAGAGACCCTGTCTCGTAAAACAATGGTGGCCAGGCGTGGCTGCATGCTCCTGTAGCTAAAGTTCTGTGGACCCGGGGGCCGGCTGCCCTCCAGCCTTGTCCTGGTGCAGGGAGAGGGGATCCCCGGGTCTCACAGCCCAACCAGTCCAGCTGAAACCCTGAGCTCTGGGCTCAGTGAGAGACTGTCTCAAGTAATAATGACGACGACTAATAATGATAACACCGATAATGTGCAGAATGAGCGGGGCGTGCCGATCGATGGATGTCAACCCCACGCTCAAATTTCTTCCCTGGGGACACTACACATTGTCCACCCCTTCCCTAGGGTCCCAGTGGCAAACTGAGACACCATCCCACTAACCCTTACCCAGGGGAACCAGAGCTTATTAGGATTAGTTACAGGACAGGGTGAGGGGTTACAAGCAGGAGCCACCCCACGGGAAGGCTTGCGGGCGCAGAGGGATGATGGCTTCCCTGTGGCTGTAAGGATGGAGTCCGCTCCTTAGTCCCTCCTAGCCTGTACGCCTGTACCCTCTCCCTCACACGGTGTGATTACGGCACAGTTGCAAACGCTGCTTGGCAGGAGTGGCTGGACACTTAACTTAGGCAGGGACCTCGTAGCCCTCCTCATCCCCTCCTGGTCTGTCTGTCTGTCTGTCTGCCTGCCTTCCTTTCTGCTTTTTTTTGAAACAGGATTTCTCTGTAGCCCCAGCTATCTTGGGAGTAGGTCCCGTAGACCAGGCTGATCTTGAACTCACAGAGATCCACCTGCTTCTGCCTTCTGAGTGCTGGGATTAAAGGCTACTACTTAAAGCTCCCACCACCATGATGAACTTCCTGGCCCCAAACCGTGGGCCAGGACAAACCCCTTTACCAGTGCATTTATCGCAGCCACAGAAGGGACTAGGACAGCTGGCTCTGCCTTGTTTTTATTTATTTTGCTTACAGTGTCCCCCTCCACTAGCACACATATGGGCGTTTTGTTTTGGGACAGGGTCCTGATATACCGATATATGGCCTAGGGACTTTGTTTTTTGTTTGTTTGTTTTTTGAGACAGGATTTCTCTCTGTCCCTGGTACTTGCTCTGTAGACCGGGCTGGCCTCAAACTCAGATCCACCTGCCTTTGTCTCCCAAGTACTGGGACTAAAGGCGTGCGCCACCACCGCCCACCGCCCGGCTGCACTGTGGGGCCCCACTGAGCACAAACTCCACTGAGCAGCCCTTCTGCCGCAGCCTGCCAGGTGCTGGGTTGTAGGATTGAGCCGCCAATCCAGGAAGAAGGGAAAAACCTGGCTGCTCAGCTGACCAAGAACAGAGGAGGGGCGGGGCGGGTGGGGGCGGGGCTGAGAAAATGGCTCGGTGGTTAAGAGCACTCGCTTTGGGAGTATGTAAACCTGGGTTCCAGCGCACCTGTGAAAAGCTAAGCTTAGCAGGGCGGCGGTGGCGCACACCTTTAATCCCAGCACTCAGGAGGCAGAGGCAGGCGGATCTCTGTATTCTAGACCAGCCTACTCCACAGAGGGAGTTCCAGGACAGCCAGGACTGTTAACACAGAGAAACCCTGTCTTGAAAAACAAAAACGAAGCTAGGGATAGCTGCACGGTGGTGGTGGTGGTGGTGGCGCTTGCCGGCCAGCCAGCTGAGCAGAAAAGGCAAGCTTCTGTTCAATGGGGGCCTATCTCAAAGCCGTAAGACAAAGAGCCAGGGGTGGGGGTAACAGAAGAGGACCCGCAGCAACCTACTCTGGCATCCACTCACACTGTGCGTACATACGTGCACACGCGCACACACACACACACAAAGAATACAGGTGGACAGTGTCTCCAGCCAGGACCTGGCTGGAGCCAGCCTACAAGCAGAATCTGTAATTGATGCAGGAATGTATCTGCTACTAGGGGAGAGACTAGGTGGGGGCAGGGGTGTGGCTGAGGGCCCGACACCGACACCCTCCCCTTCTATCCCTTCTCCAGAGCGCAGGCTGACTTCACCCGATCCGTGGAGATCTGTGTACCTGTCCCCACAGATGGTCTCCTCGGCTACGCAGGTGGCAGCCCCATGCCAGTCTCCTGCATGGGCACAGGGTCTTCTCTGGATGGTGGGAGTGACCCAGCTTGTCTCGCTTGCACAGTGAGCATTGTGCACATGTCCTGGAGATTCCGAGGTGTGATTAAGCCAGTCCCCAGTTTCATTATCCACTCTTGGAAGCTAGCTGGTCTTCTCCCTGGATCTCTGCCGCCCTCTGTTGGAAATCCTGAGAAGGCAGGATGTTGCCTATGGGAATTCGCTGGAACAGTGACGACCTAACCCTTCTGTGACCCAACATATGTCTACCTTGAGCCTGGCTCTGAGCCTTCATGTTCTCTGGTTCTAATTTTTCAAAGAATTAATTATCTGGGGTGGGGAACAGTAGCTTAAGGGTGATCTAAATCTTTATTTGAAATTTTTTTGGGGGGAGAAGGGCAGGGTCTCATGTACCCCAGGCTGCCCAGGAACTCCCTGGGGTTAACCTCGAGCTCCTGTTTTCTGGAATTACAGAGCTGTGCCAATGCTCCGGGCTGATTTTTTTTTTAACATCATATATTTGGTTTTTGGAGACAGTCCTGGATGTCCTGGAACTATGTAGACCAGGCTGGCCTTGAACTCATAGCACCTTCTGCCCCTGCCTCTGAGTGCTGAGATCAAAGGCGGTGCAGAACCACGCCTGGCTTTATTTTAGTTTTAAAAGCTATTATCTGTATGGGTGTTTTGCCTATGTGTCTGTATGTATTTTGTGTGCATGCTTGGTGCCTGAGGACCAGGAGAGGACATCAGATCCCCAGAAACTGGAGTTACAGATGGTTGTGAGTCACCATGCCTATGGCTGAAATTCAAAAGTCAGCCATCTCTCCAGCCCAGGAGCAGTGTGTGTGTGTGTGTGTTTATGTGTGTGTGTGTGTGTGTTTATGTGTGTTTACTGGGAAAAAAGCCAGGTGGTGGCGGTAGTGGCGCACACCTTTAATCCCAGCTCTCGGGAGGCAGAGGCAGGTGGATCTCAGTGAGTTTTCAAAGCCAGCCTGGTCTACACAGTGAGTTCCAGGACAGCCAGGGCTGTTACACAGAGAAACCTTGTCTTGAAAAAAAAAACTATAAAATGAGATGTAGTGTAAGCATGTGTGTCTGTGTATCTGCGTGTGTAGCCTT